CGTTCTCCTGTCTAGGTCTGGGTAACGTGACAGTATTCTGCCCACGCCATACAATTAATGTCTCTTCAAACAAATTTCTGATGCCGTGGCCACCGCAGAGGATAATCAACGGTGCCCTATCTGCTGCATCGAGCAGGGTGGATAGGGTATATTTGGGTGTTGCTCTTCCCAACACTGGCACACCACGACCGCGGTTTCTTCTTGATTTAAACTCATCATGTGGAGATAGCCTGAGCTGGGGTGGAACTCAGAGCTTAGTAGCTCATGGCTGACGCCCTGAACACTATGCTACTGAGATCCGCGAGCAACGCTTGGCACAGCGGAAAGTAATTCAAGTTGAATTTAGGGAGCACGCTGTGTGGTTGGGTTGCGACTCGCAACCTCTACTGATAGGGGTTTGGATGCTACTGCTTAAGCCTTCCCGTCTTCTTATTCACCTTCCTATGCTTTTCACCCTTATCGTCCCGTTCCAGATGCACTTATATCCCCCTGGTTTTCAATCCCCAAATTCACATGAACACAAATGCAGGTTTCCCCACTGCCACTCTACGGAGACGGATAGTGAACACATTGCTTGTTCAGCATTAGTTCTTCTTCTGATTGAACCGTACTATAACACGGAATGCGAATACGATGGCGTGTAGTCCAGGTGTATTTTGAAGAACGCTTATCTAGGGGCAAAATGATGTGAGTTGGAAAAGTACACCATGCCTCGGATACAGGAAGGGAGAGAAAAATTGTCGACAAACAGGTTTACTGTGTAACGCGTGTACAGTGTGAGCTGGTGGCTGCTTTGATTTGCATTGTGGCCTAGTTGTAACCTATTACGGTAAGCGCGTTTGAAGTTCACCTGTTGTAGGTATGCCATCATAATATTTCCACCATGACGCTGATACTCACCGCGGTACAGCCCAAGAGCTTGCAGTTCGAATTGGTAGAGAAGGCGGAACAATCCCCTTAACCGAGTCTGTGGAACTTCAAATGCATGAATGTAGTTTTTGCGCCAGGGACGTCGAACTTTGTCACGTAAAATATGCGACATTAGTTTGAATGCACTCTTCTGTGTATGATCGAACTGTAGTCATTATTCTCGTTGTTATCGTGCCCAATTATGTCGCATATTTTAGCCAAATGCAGTAGCCTGTCTAACACACATGTGAGTACTCAACTTTTACGCTGGAAGGCCAACCCCCAGTTTGGTATCCGCTTTCGCTGCATGCAATTCTCACTAAGTTTAGTAGATCTATCCGTAGTCAAGAGAAGTGCCAAGCTTTTATTCTTGTGCTGACCATATCCACAGATTATTGTCTTCTACTCTTAGGTTATCGCATGGATAAGGTCGTTAACGTATACATGTAACGTCCGGAATCAAACAACCCCCAAACGAAGCGCAGTATGTTGTCACCAATTGCTATCGGGAGCATGTATACCTCTACTTGGTCAGCGGAGGGAAACTCACTAGAAGCTCGGTATTTCTGAGAGACCCATTTTGTCAAAGAACGCAAGCGACGCGATGAACGGTACATAGAAGTGAGCTTATATATTATCCACTAACTAGCATCAGAACACGGTTGACCTGGACAAGGGCATGTTTTGGGGAGAACTCCATCGTGAGGTACGTAAGCAGCAGAGTATACATTATGTCTTGTGTGGACAGAAGTTCAGAGGGTTAGTTCAGGGCACTACCGACTGTTCGAAGCGGCCAAAACGGTGACAAGTCACTCCATGACAATCAGAAGATAGGGCACATCCTGATCAATGGCTCATCAATCGTTGGTCTCTAATTGATGGTTTCACAAGCTACCTTGTTCGCTGATAGGCGGCACCATAGCCGTAGGATTAGAGAGATTATGGTAACATTAGTAGCTACTGGGTTACGCTGGATGCAGACGTCCCCCACGGTCAACAGGCATAAGAATGTGGGTGCGTGGGTGGATCCACAGCGGTGGGTCGGAATTTCTAGTTCGCACCAGATGGGGGAATTGACAATGTGGCTAAGATCTGACAGCATGAAATGTTTATCATGTACCTTACTGGATTCATTGCGTTTGCTCAGAGTGACGTACATGCGATAACTTTCCCTTAGATTAAGTGGGGTGCTTTATGACGAATAAAGTTTAGACACTCATGAGTAGAGAATTCTGATGTACTTAAGTAAGCCATCGTCACAGCAGCTTCTAAATCAGATACTCGTCCATTTGGCCGTAAAGTGTTAAACAGTCGGTTCGCGCTATAGTGGCGCGTCAGTATTGCATAACCGTTGGCGGTTTGCGGTTTGAATGTCAAGCGTGTCAGATTTGTCGACCCACTGTGTGACCGCGTTAACAATAACCAAGTGTCCTAGTTGTATGGGTGGTGCACTGCGCGCAGATGTGTGAAGTAGTCCTGGCTTGTTTTTACAAGGCTTACAGTAAAAACTTCAACCTACTTATAATACAAACTTACCTTGAAACATACTAACGGCTATGACGATTAGAGCTTTTCTACCATGGTAATCACTAAAAAGTATCGTTGCACTTCCTACCACATGCACCTCTTATCGACGGATCGACGTTGCTTTATAAGTAGTTTATTCTGTTTTAGTTTTCCTCTGAGGTACGAATATTCCCAGTTTGATTGTATTTCCTTGGCATGCTGTGAATCGACATCACACTTATGCAGTGTGTTGTTCGATTAAATAAATAAACTAGTCTAAACAAAGTAAAGATGAACTTTAAAATATGGTATAACTTTACGCCAGGATGTACATCGGTTTTGCATCATGTTTGTACAACAGTTATGTACGTCCATCGATGGTTCAATCATTTGATAAATGAAATTGCCACTTTTCTTGTAGTCAGTGGGCTTGTTGGGGATACGCTCTTGATCTATTTGCGTGTGAAAACCCATAAAAAGATGTTCCCGCATCCCATGCATTGGTCGATAGACCGCTTTCTTCAAACAGAATCGACAGACATGCTGGACTGGGCATAAAAGTAAGTTCAGCGTCATTTTTGGGCTGAGAGTCAACCAGCGAACTCCACAGCACGTACGGCTTCCTTCAAGTGGTGAGAGAAAGCGACAAAGAGATACTTCGATAGGAGTCTCTTATGGTTTTTCTAACTCTTATTCCTAAATTGCACTAGATCTGGACATGTGTGTGGCAACACTAGTAAGAGGTGGATTATCACAGGCAAAAAGGGGTGTTTTTAATGGGAGCCAACCTAATGCAGTTAACTACAGGAATTTGCTAAGAATGTTAAGACTTGAAGCCGTCAGGGAAACCCACTAAAAACGGATCCTGACATGAGTTATGGCTAAAAAGAAGAGTCGTTTTTAATGTAGCCAATCACTGATTAGCCATCGTCCTAGTCATACCATCTGAATGGGCGATCCGTGAAAACACGTCTCGTGTTTAGCGGTAAATTGACTTTTTATTCCACCGCTGAGTAAATTTCACGCATTGCGTATACCGCTGCTTAGCCCCCTCGTGATTGGAGCTTGTCATTGCCCTCATAAACTACCAGCCATAAAATCTGATCGGCCAATCTGTGAAGCAAACTATCATTACCGTTGCGGGTTTGTACAAATGTTGCTACATTGCGAACAACTCGAGAAAGTTAGATGAATGTGCCGAGGATATTTCGTTCCCAGCGATCTTCAAATGCGCTTAAGTAATCAGACCTAAATGACCATGGACAGCTAGGAGTTAGCAATCAGCTAATGTTACATTTATCATTCCCGCTACACTGAGACTTATATATGTTGCATCTATTCATTTCCCCACACTAGTTGTTACTCCCGGTTTTCATTACGCAAAACTTGGAACTCAGACGCACAAATATTCCCCCCGGAATGGATGGGCTGCAAGCAATCCGGTATGTCTCCCTCTTGGTAAATGGGGAGGTTTACAGTGCCACCGTTCGAGCGGCGTTGCTATATTGAAGCGAGTACTGGCCAGTTCCTGTGGATGACATGCGCCGGCTCTCGGCTTTCGGCAATAAGTTTTTGAGCAGGATTGCTGGTGTTGTGGCAGTAACATATCTGCAGCGATGAAAGACGTACAGTCTTAGGAAATGCGAGTATCTCCTTCACCAAGTTGCTTTTGCTGTATCAGTTAAGATGGCGTGGTCATGTCATGCGTATGTCAGCTGAGCGTTTGCTCTTTTCGCTCGTGCGAGACTTTGCTGGAAGAGACCATGTGGCGGTCAGCTATCCACCTGCCGACAGCCTATGAAATCGTTGACTTCACGTCTCGCTGCCGTTGGATCCACACGTTTAAAATTGGACGAAGAATGCTCATAGCTAGAAGCAATTAAGGATATGGCGCGTTATCGGAACCAGTGGAAGATTTGTGTAGTAAGCTGATTAGATTCAGATGCTTAATGCTTATCGATTAAAAGAGACATAAGATAAAAAAATGGCGTGTGAAAAGATAATAAAATATTTCCTTTCTTTTTAAGGCACGGTAGCTGAAGTGCGTCGCTCATCTTCAGCTAATGTGCCACAATAATGATGCGGCGATCAAAGCTGTATTGGTTCAGTGGTTCCCAGGGTTTTCTTTGATTCTATGTCTGTTTGTTAGACTCTTGCTAATGAGTTTAATAATAATAATAATCATAATAAAAATAATCATAATCATAATAATCATAATCATGACAATCCGCTTACTGAACTGCTAAACAAGTAAAGCATTCATCTCGTTGCAAAGTGGTGGGCGAAAAGAGCTATGTCCTGGAACTTCCTCACACTGTGTTAACACACTGCTTCTGTTTTAGTTCCCCCAATGGGTTGGTGTACCGTTTGTCATGAAATGTACAATATTATTTCGGCATTTGCGCGCCGGTAACGCTGGACCGAGACCAGTTTCATTAGGAACTAGCCATAAAACGGTGCAGAATCTAAACGGCAACAAAAGATATCATGTTTGAATATGAGGCGGGATAACTCGTCTCGTCGCTTCCTTAGGCTACATCAATTTGTGTTGGTTTTGCACTTCCACTTTCCTGGTCAGCGTACATATGGGAGGATTCTCATCGAGTGTGAATATCCGATGTGTCCGATTGAAACATCTAGAACAGCCTCTCGTGTTTCACATACGCCAATATCATACGCATACTTTGGGCCAGTTCCCTACATCTCAGCACCGCGTCGTTTTACTATTCAGATCGGTTCACTCACCGGACAACGCACCGTACCAGGAGTGCCGTTCACTACAGGCATACCAGCCTGAGTTAAATGAAACAAATGTCTTTGAGTGGTACAATGACGACAACCCACTGGCTCATTTGTTTTCCCCAGTGGTAACGAAAACTCCTGCGGCGGAGTTGACGACTTGACCGCACAGAGTACGTGTGCTATCGGTAGGCGCTGAAACAAGCGCTTTGTAAACTAAGTGACTTAAGTAGAAAAAATAGCTAACGCCACACGTGAAGTAATGTGTTCGAGCACAATTGCTTCCATGGTTGTACACAAACGAATATTGCGCGACAATAGTTCGGACATACACATTGGGTAATCACACCGGTCCCTTATTGGTCAGCGACTGAACTGTACACATTTTGTCAGACTTCGCAGTGCTTATAAAAACCAGACAATCCACACGTCTGCCTGTGATCTAGCCAATCACATGAAACAAGTGTCGCGACGTAAAGTGACGCTATCGCGCTACAGACTAACAACCCAATCTACCGCAGAGTGGATGGAGTCCATTAGGTGAACTGACTGGTTCGAGTACGCACTGCGCGACTTAGTCTACGGAGGGTTCACTTTGAATGGCGGTGGCTGAAAACCGACCCTTGTCTTTCTGCAGCGCTAATCTTGTCCCACGGTGTCCCCAGAATCCTTGGACGTCAGCGTTAGAGAGAGTGTTGGTTTTTTCCAGCGACTCACCGCCAACAGAATCAAACTTCGCGCGGCGTACAGCAAGTAAGCTCACTTGCCCTAGACCCCCGGTCATTCGTATCACAAACAGCTCAGTGAATGTGGAAAAGTTGAGTGGCATAATCAATTATCTTCAGCAGCCGCTTCACGAACATCTATTGTGTCCTACGCATGCTGCGTGCATCGAAGAAACCCTGCCGAAACTGCGGAATTTGCTTCAACAACGCATTAGGGACGCTAAAGTTGAATCCCCTCGCTGCTCTTGTTGTTGTGGTACTGCTGAAGATTTGGTCCGTTTTTGCACTGCTGTGGGACACCAGATCAACAGGTGCACAAATTGCCGATGTAAACTATCCAAAGTCGAGGACGAACCTCCAGAAATGCGGACTACCGTCAGCCAATGTAAGAGGCCATTCCGAAGCCCGTTCAAACAACGCGCGGAACTGAAGACTTCTGTGGCTGCAGATGGAACTGTCAATGAGGACAGTCGTTTGTCAACTCCGGACGGTAGGGGGCTACAACCTGAAGCGCCTAAGCATACCGACCGATGTGTCGATAAATCAGACTATTGCTGGCAGTGGCTACTGTATTCTTCTGAGGTTGGTACCGGCACAACGCTTAATGGATTTCGCGATGATATGAGTAGCGGAACTGTCCCCTCGTCGTCGATGTCCGATCTATCAACCAACTCAGACAGGCGCTCCAAGTCGGCCCCACCAGAAGATGCTTTGGTAAGTTGGAACTGGGCGATCCTTGATATCCGTCACTCTTGTTCACAAATGCAGTTCATAGCCTCAGTATTGTATACTTTTACAAGAATGACTGTATGGCGAGTCATGGTATCAATAATTAAACCCACTAAGCTTATGTTAATTTTACTTACCCTTGAGGATGGCGCCATGATAGCATATGGCGTTGCAGTTGAGGCATGCCCCTCAAGATGGCTCCAGTTAATTTCGACAATGCTTCATCGAGTGCAAACCACTTAAAAGTACCCTAAAACATGGCAATAAATCTTAGTAAGGTTAAAGATCACAACCATCAGGAAACAATTTTGAGGACTGCGACACCTGAGGTGCACACTTAGGGAACGTTTTAATCAGCAGTTTCGTCTAACATGGGCTAAATTTTCAATTTTAAGGCGCTGTGGTGATAACCCAGACTGAAGCATAGGAGTTTGCCTATTACTTCGCATATTACAATCCCGTCTCCGGGCCAGCTCTGACACAAGGCATAGAGTAAATCTTCACTGACAAAATAGGCTTCATTGTTTATTGAAAACGAAGTAACAAGTGATTGGTGCGCATGATGAATATACGTATCACCTTATGTCAGACGAATCCCGTCTAAGTACCGCAACAGAATGAATGGTAGTTATTGCATCATGCCTCCTATAGACCCCTAAAATACAAACCCAATTCGAATCAGCGGCAAGAAAAATGACTAGATACCGATGTGACGAAATTCGATGGATCGATCGGGACCAGGGGACCAGGTGCCATCCGCCACTAAACCCGCTCGGTGGTAGTATTTTTGCACCTCGGATACGTTAGCATATCAACCGGCTTGACCACATTCCTAACGAGCACCTCAAAAGCTGTCGGGCCAGCTCGTTGGTCCCGCACAAAGGGATATTCAATAGACATCAACCGTCGAGAATCGTGATCACTCAACGAAGTCATCGCTAGTACTTTGAGTGGTCCTTCTCAGGTGCACAAATCATCTCGGCCGCGATTGCAAATTTCTCGGCTTAATACAACCAATTGGTTGTTTAAGATAATAGGATGTGAGGCTGCAATTCCCCACTTTCACGAGTGAATACATACGTATCTTGTCTGTTTTCCTCTTTAACGACACAATACACCCATGCAGGTACGCAGGTCAGTAGTGGATGGAAATATTTTGAGAGAAAAGCATACTATACAGTGCTATACATAACCCCCTAAATATAACAATTCCGGTTAACTTGTCAGTTGGCCTTTTTGACGTCGAGCGGCTTAGGTTCCACATGCATATTACTAAGTGTTCGATGAGTAGTAGGTAGGGCCTACATTGTCACCATGGTCTCCGTGTGATACTGGGCACATGCCGAGCTCGGTTTTGATGCCATAGAAGCTATTTACAAGGTTAGTTACGAGCAGGGTTGACAACTTTCTATTGATCCGTCATAGCAAACTGTAAACTGAGAAGAATAAATAGAGAACTTCATGAGTTGAATGCGTAATTCTTACTGTTCAGGTGGGAAGCTGTCACCGCGGCGGAACGTCATACACGAACCACAGATATGTCAGAACAAGTTGGACAACAGTTAGCCTCATTTACTAACTCGCCTGCGTTTGCAAAGACCCAGTAACTGACCATTAGGCAGGCAACCACTTCTCTGGGTCTATCACTGGCATAACCAGGCCATGAGCGTTACGGTTTCGACCAGAATCCAAGTGTGTCGAACCCGAATTCTTATCGTACCTGGTCCGCATTTCCAAATCCGTGCCGCAAAACGGGAACCGAGTGGTTCTGGCAATCAACAAGGCAACTTAAGCCAGAATGAATCCGCTCTGTTTGCGGCTTTTCTCACTGCTACGAACCCTTGCTCATTGCGTGTGCCGGCCAAGATAAACGTTATCATTTGAAACTTATATCATAATATACGGTTGAAGAACCAACTACGCTGCCACCAGTGGAAGATTAAGTATAAAACTATGACTGCGATCCTAGTACTGACGAAAACAGTTAGCCGAATGCGAAACCAGATGACCTACATCGTAACTGTGAGGAATCAAAGGTGGTTACGCCCTCATAATAAGGGGATATTGTTGATTTTGGCTACGAAACATGTTATCGGAGTGCGCCAATGTGAAATGCAGAAATAATTTTCGTTCCATATTAGTCTTGTCTTTCTTCATCCATATTCATTCAGCCAGCTAGAAGACACTAAAAGTTTGCTCTTCGCAAGCCATACCAACTAGGTGGCAAAAGTTTTGTCCAACTACCAGATGTTCAATTTCCTCATCATGCGATAAATGATTTCATGTGTGAAGTGGTCTATTCGGAAAGGCCTTTCTTGCGGTAATTCACATTGCTCTTTCTTCGGTTCAACTGCAGGTTACTTATCATTAGTCACATTAAATCTAAGACAATCGTAAGAGATTTGAGTTGGAGCCTCTGTCTTTCGAATTCATGCCTCGATCATCAAGTACGTGAGACACTGGCGACGCGGTGTGCACTACTTGTTAAACTGTTCGCTCAAATGCCACCATGTAGAACGATATTTGGAGTGATTGTGTTGGTGAAGAGGTGATTGTGAAATTCGTCATCCTTAAAAATTGACCGAACACCTTTGGGTTACTGAGTAATACCGCGTAGGGAAAAAAAGAAATTGTTTGAACCGATGTGATTTGAAGTTGCCAAACATTTTCCAATTTCAGTAGCATGTATAAGGCCGCTCACACCAGCAGCCAAGTTGTGACGGTTCCTGATTTTGTAAGTAGATTCGTATAGATTAAGGAAATCAAATGCTCTTGAACTCATTCAAGAAATTTCTCTGCTCTTAGCAGCGGTACTGCAACAATGTTCTTCGCTGATCTGAGCGCGACGCTTACAAGATTTGATAGAAATGAGGTCGGGGAACACACATTCGGGATCTAGATGTTTGAACTGGTGACCCAATTGTAACTTACCGATACCATCGTACATGACAGGATAACGTTGGCGTTTGCGGGAGGAAACCTTATTGGACCAAAGCGTATAAGCTACATATCTGACCGGAAAACTCATTAGAGTCATTACGTTTAGCGTGGGTTACTTAAACAGTTTCTTTCAAATTGAACAGTACCGGTGGACGCCGACCAGATACATCACTACTACATGGCGTCTAGTGTGTTGTAGGTGATGAACATTGGTTGATCGTGCAGGTCTGTGCTAGTGGTGGCGAGCTGTAAGTCCCGCTTGACAAGTCGGGTTCGAGTCCCTTTAGATTGCTGCAGGTAAATCAAAAGTTTGGGCTACGTTCAGAATCCATGCAACATAAAGTGATGGACATGGATAAAAGGCATAAAAAATTGCCCGTTTTCAATTTGTGAACGGGGTCCCGCACCTCCTGGAACTGGTGTTTTGCGGATTACTATAGATCTGCATCTGGGATTTTGTGTACCTTGTAGTGATGTTTATAGCTATCAATTTTGGCCTACAGCGCTGGTTACTAATAATATTGGCAACAGTACCAATAATAATAGTAGTAATTGCATTGCGATTACACGAGACAAGCTGTTTTCGATATGATCGAACTTTGACAAGGAGGCTCCAAAGCATATGCTTAGTGGAAAAGTACAAAAGTTCCTTCCGAGAATAATGCAACATCATACAGTTTCCAAATTTTCGCTATTGCCGAAATCGTCCTGTTGAATCATATTGAAGCGTTGAAATGAGGAGCAGATTTATGTGTCGCCGATTGATTTTGGCAAAAGTAGGACCACTGTGGTGTAACACTTCTCCAGACTGTATACGACAAGCGATTTCACACATGACGACAGACACCTGAGAGTGCTGACCGTACCAAGTTTTTCTACCTCATTATGTGTCTTGAACGTTCGGGTAGTCGTTCGCGCTCGAAGTTCTAGGTTCCGTGTGAGTTGTTTGAGTCGGCGGCCACGATTTACACACATAAGTGCCACCCCTGACTTGTATATCAATAATGCTGCAGCGAGAGCGACGTTGTAGTGACCACACGAGATAAACGCGATCTTTAACTTGTCCTATGTCAAGCACATTATCGGTGAAAGTACTTGTTGACGGTTTGGTTACGGCCGACGTTGAGATAGCTATGGCTCTTTTTTGGTTAGCATGTGTGGATGAAGTTGGCACCATATATTACATATTAATAATCAAATCGGTTTCATGCACATTACCAGACTGCGTATACAAAGTGTGGGTGTTACCAACTCGAACAACGTTACTATGTTAGGTACCAGTTAATGGGGAACAGCTGCCATGAACGTTTGATCACGAGTGGTGAAGTCAGAGCATACAGCAACCTGATTCTTCCTACTTCGGTCACTGCAGTACATTGGAGCGAATACAATCTGCTTGTTGATGGCTTGTGGTCGCCTGGTGGATGTAGGTTGCAGCGTCAACAAGACTGAATGACAGACCAGACAGATCGATTAGGAGATAGCCAACTTGACTCCCGGCAGCAGCAGCAGCAGCAGCAGCTCCGGATCGTTGACCTCGTTATTATTATCCATATAATGCACACACACACACATCATGTTAAACACTTGATTACAATCACAGAGATCCACCCACAACAACAAGACTGGTGCATGTTTTTGCTCTCTCTCTCTCTCTCTCTCTCTCTCTCGGATCAATCTGACTAAGTATGATGTATGCATACGAGTGTTGTGAGCAGTGTATCGAGACAGCTGGCTGATAAGGTTTACGAAACTAGGGGATACATAAATGCAGAGCAGCGGTAGTTGATGATAAGCTCAATGGGAATTCATGGCTAAAATTAGGGCCCAAGTAAGCGGGTTCTAAGATAATTGGAAACGAGAATAATGGCACGTTTTCGTGGGTGGTGTAGCTATGAGGGTGCCTCGAGGAGTGTATAGTATTGAAGAGCACGTTTTTCTCCCTTTTTTTCTCCCACAATGTTCATGTCAAGTGAGAACGTATACAGATGTGTTTTTTCAGTTGTCTTCAAAACACTATGGTTGTGACCTCAGTTAAAACATCT